ACTGAGCACTAATTTTTCCAACTGACAGATGATTATTCTAATTACAAAAGGATTTTCTTTCCTTTTCAAATTGCTACCACATTCCTCACCTGATGCAACCACGGTGCCAGCCCACAGTGTGTTCTCTATGCTGAGGCTCTCGCTGATCGGGGGGTCGCTGTCTTCCTGGAAAAGACCAAATGGACACACATTCACCCTGAGGCTTTCCCAGAATCCATAGGCTTCTTCCAGCCTGCTCTGCTCAAAACAGAAGAGGCTCCCCCTGATGAAACTGAGGGCTCAGTTTGGAAGCCAATGGCTCCACCATGAAGGGAGATCTGAGCTTTTCCACTGCCCCTGGGGTTTTCATCTCCCACAGAAATATGTGAAAAAGTTGGCCTGTGATTTAAAACATGCAGGCCTCAGTGGGGAGCGGTGGCTTACACCTATAATCCCAGTACTCTGGAAGGCCGAGGTGGCCAGATTAGGAGGTCAGGAGATCAAGACCATCCTGGCTAACACAGTGAAAGCCTGTCTCTACTAAAAATACAAAACATTAGCCGGACACGGTAGTATACACCTGTAGACCCAGCTATTCAGGAGGCTGAGGCATTGAACCCCGGAGGCTGAGGTTGCAGAGAGCTGACATCGCACCACTGCACTCCAGCCTGGGTAATGGACCGAGAATCCATCTCAAAAAAAAAAAAGGTACAAGCCTCTTAGCACTGAAAAATGATTTACGAGCTGAGAATCAAAGTGTAAAAGCAAACCACTCAGGCTGTTTGCAGGCCAACTTTGTTTGTGGCTTACAGAAAGAGAACGTGGCTAGTGTAAGGTGGGTCCTAGAAACGTGTTGACCCATATTCCTAAAATAAATTTTATATATTTTTTGAGACAGAGTCTCGCTCTGCCGCCCAGGCTGGAGTGCAGGGGTGCGATCTCGGCCCACTGCAACCTCCGCCTCCCAGGTTCAAGCAATTCTTCTGATCTCAGGAAATCAGCCTCCCAAAGTACTGGGATTATAGGCATGAGCCGCCACTCCCAGCCTCCAAAAACAAATTAAATCCAAATCTAATTTATCTTCTGAGAGGTCTGGAAGTGGCTTAAAAATTATGAAAACTGGCAGACAGGATTTGTATTAATAAAAGAGAACAAAGCCAGGCACGGTGGCTCACGCCTATAACTCTAGCACTTTGGGAGGCCAAGGCAGGTGGATCACCTGAGGTCAGGAGCTCAAGACCAGCCTGGCCAACATGATGAAACCCCATCTCTACTAAAAATACAAAAAATTAGCCAGGTGTGGTGGTGCACGCCTGCAATCCCAGCTACTCAGGAAGCTGAGGCAGGGGAATCACTCGAACCCGGGAGGTGGAGGTTGCAATGAGCCAAGATCATACCACTGAACTCCAGCCCAGGCAATAGAAGGAGACTCTTGTCTCCCACCCCCCGCCAAAAAAGAAAAAAGAACATAGATCCATCTGAAGGACACAGAAGGAAAAACTGCTTTCAGACGTCACCGTTCATGTGAATTACAGCAAACACTTGGCTCTAAGTTATCAGGTCATTCAAGGTCATTTAAGCTCTTCCAAGGCCGAAAGAAAATTCCATTTGTGTCGACCTTTACTAAGAAACAATACACCGGCTTTCAAGGTGGTGCCTTCTTTATGTCCCCACTTGGCATAAAACTATTTCCTGACAAGGAACTGTCTACACTTCTTGGCCTTCATCCCTTTACACACTCTCAGTGACAGGATCCTGTGTGAAATAAGCTCACTTACTCGGGTGAAGGTTCCCACGAAGTTGTGAATGTCGATATTTGGCTCTTCGGCGTACACGTACGATCGAATCTGAAGAAGGTCCTGTTCAACAGAAGTCACATTTGGGAGTCAAAGCAAAGTCAGTTCACAATTCGAGACTTCAGGAGGTATCCGCTATTTTTCCAAAGCAACTGTATTTCCCCAACAGAGCAAACAGGCTCTGAAAATTACAGAGGAGGTGGAGAGGAGAGGAAGAGTCTCTGTTAAGTAAGTTTAGGAGTCGCTGCATACAGTATATCAAGACACCCTTAGGGCCTCTACAGTGAAGACCCTCGTTTCTGTCCATTTACCCAGCGCTGTCCGGACTTGATGGAGTGATGTTACACACCTATTAATAGCCTCGAAAGGGGCAGAATCTCCTCTGCTAAATTCTAGCTTTCAAGACTTGTTTGTACCATTGAAAACACTCCTTCAGGCTGGGCATCGTGGCTCATGCCTGGAATCCGAGCACTTTGAGAGGCTGAGATGGGTGGATCACTTGTGGCCAGGAGTCTGAGACCAGCCTGGCCAACATGTTGAAGCCCTGTCTCCACTAAAAATACAAAAAATTTAGCTGGGGGTGGTGGCGCGTATCAGTAATCGCAGCTGCTCAGGAGGCTGAGGCAGGAGAATTGCTTGAATATGGTACGCGGAGGTTGCACTAAGCTGAGATCATGCCAGTGCACTCCAGTCTGAGCAACAGAGCAAGACTCTGTCTGAAAAAAAAAAAAAAGAAAAGAAAACATTCATTCAACAAATGGTTACTGGGCATCTACTCTGTACATACCTCTGGGAAGAGCTGAAAAAGGAAGTAAGAACACCTCACACTCACAAGGATGGCTGCTATCAAAACAAAAACGAAAAGGAGTGTGGTGAAGATGTGGAGAACTTGAGGCCCTGGGCACTGTTGGTGGGAACCTAACATGATGCAGCAGCTGTGGAGAAGAGCACAGCACTTCCTCAAAAAATCAGAAACAGAACTACCATAGAATCCAGCAATTCCACCTCTGGGTATACACAAAAGAAATGAAAGCAGGGACTTGAAGTGATCATCTGCCCACCCATGTACAGAGCAGCATTGTTCACAATAGCCAAGAAGGGGAAGCAACACAAACATCATCAGGGGATGAATGGCTCAACAAAGTGTGGTCTCAACGGAAGAGGGAATATTACTCAGCCTTAAAAGGGAAGGAAGTTTTGACACACGCTGCAGTACCATGGACCTTGAAGACGTTATGCTAAGTGAAATAAACCAGTCACAAAAAGACAAAAACTAAGTGATTCCACTTACAGGAGGAACTTAAGAGTAGTTTAATTCACAGAGACAGAAAACAGAAAGATGGTTGCCAGGGGCTGGGCCAAGGTGGGAAATGAAGTTACTGCTTAATGAGTCCAGAGTTCCAGTTGTGAAAGATGAGAAAAGTTCTGAAGATGAACACTGCTGATGACTGCATGACAAAGTAAATGCACTTAATGCCACTGAACTGTACACTTAAAAATGGTTACAATGGCGAGATCGCGCCATTGCACTCCAGCCTGGGTAACAAGAGGGAAACTCCGTCTCAAAAAAAAAAAAAAAAAAATGGTTACAATGGTAGATGTTACGTTGTGTGTCTCTTAGTGTAATTATATATATATATTTTGAGACAGAGTCTCACTCTGTCGCCAGGCTGGGGTGCAGTGGTGCGATCTCAGCTCACTGCAACATCTGCCTCCTGGGTTCTAGTGATCTTCTGCCTCAGCCTCCTGAGTATCTGGGACTACAGGCTCGTGCCACCATGCCCAGCTAATTTTTCGTATTTTAGCAGAGATGGGGTTTCACTATGTTGGCCACGATGGTCTCGAGCTCCTGACCTTGTGATCTGCCCACCTCAGCCTCCCAAACTGCTAGGATTACAGGCATGAGCCGCCGTGCCCGGCCAGCACAATTTTTTTTAAAAGCAAACAAGAAGTCAATCTTAGGTGATGAGAAAAGACTAAAGGTGAACCATCGTGGCAAAAACTCCATTTCAAAGCATCATATGAGTAGTGGCACAAGACAGGTACAGTCGGGAGAGCAGCAGTCACTTTCAGAACAAAGGATAAAGGAAGCAGACGGGGACTGGGCAACAGGAAAGGCAACGGAGGGGCAGGAGGGAAGCCTGGGAGGAGGAAGGGACAGGCCACAGCTCAGAGTGGAAATGGAAACAAGGTTCAGGAGCAGAAAGCCCCATCGGGCGGGGACAGGACGGGGAAGAAATCCCCGCAGTGGCACAGACAGATCCCGAGAGGAAACGGCAGGGCAGGGCCCAGATCATGCTGCAAGTTAAAGGCCAAGCTAACAATGTATGATTACGTCAGATACACACCCACTGCCGCACTCACACGTAGACACGGCGTGGGGACAGGAGGTTCTAGTCTAGAGTTGGCTTTTCCTCAATTGCTTTTCTTTTAATAGCAAGGTAATCTGCTACAGGGGTTCTTGAGTTCCCATACTCAGCCAACTGCCTGCTGGCCAAAGATGAAGCTTTGCACAAACAGAGCTAAGAGCAAACCCCAGCCCCCATATACCAGGCGTGTGAATCTGGAGAAATGAAAGACCCCTCTAGTCTGTCTCTGGCCTGTGAAACGGCCACACCACCACTACATTTTAGGGGGCAGTACAGAGTCACTATGGGGCCCGGCTTCCATACCTACCAAACGGTGGGACACAGCTGTCCTCAGGTCGGCTACAGCTATGGCAGGACCTGTGTTTCACCAGGGTGCCCTGAGGCCGCTGCTGCCATCACTGCAGCCAGTTCTGCCCCTGTACCTGGTTACTGGATCTGTTTCTTCTCCTCAATTCCTTTTCCAGATTCTTCTTATTTCCTCACCATGTTAACAAAATTCTTTGAAAACTGTTTTGCCGATCCTGACAACATGGCCCAGGCCGGCCCATAACTCCTGCAGGAGAAGCCGGCCAGACCTGAAACAGCTGGATGAGCTAGAAGCAGGTGTCTGGTGTGTCTGGTCTCTTAATCTGCAGCTCCTGCCAACAGCCTGTTGTGACATGTCCCCAACCCAGTCATGTACAAGTTTCTTTGTACCTTGCTTTTACCTGACCTTTTAAAGGGAAGTAGGAGTCATTTCTAGAAAAACCAGGGAAGCAGGAATTGCCTTACTAGATAAATCTTGCTTATAACCAAGACACCTGATTATAAAGTGCTAGATAGACCAATAAACGCCCAGAAATATTAAAGAACGGGAAATGGATATATTGTGATAACCACGTCTTGGAATATTGTGCAGATGCAAAAGAAAATGAAACTACACTCTAAGACTGGAAGTGGTGGCTCATGCCTGTAATTCCAGCACTTTGGGAGGCCGAGACGGGTGGATCACTTGAGGTCAGGAGTTCGAGACCTGCCTGGCCAACATGGTGAAATCCTGTCTCTACTAAAAATACAAAAATTAGCCGGCTGTGGTGGCAGGCACCTTTAATCCCAGCTACTTGGGAGGCTGAAGCAGGAGAATTCCTTGAACCTGGGAGGCGGAGGTTGGAGTGAGCCAAGATCGCACTACTGCACTCCAGCCTGGGCGACAGCATGAGATTCCATCTCCAAAAAAAAGGTGGGGGAGGGTGAGAAAAACTGCAGAACAACAAATAGAATACGGTCTTACAGCATTTACATGAAACTACATGCCACAAACAAGCCTGACTGTGCATATTTATAAGCAAGTGCATTGAGAAAGATCTGGAAAGACCACTATCAACCTCACGTGACCCCTGATTCCCTCTGGGAAGAGGATCTGAAGTAAAGGCCGTGGGCAGGACTTCTCACTTTTCTTCCGTAGCTTTCCATACAGTTTAATTGTTTTTAACAAAAACATATTCATTCATATATTAATCAGGTCATCATTTCATATAAATCTTTTTTTGGTTTTTGGAGACAGGGTCTTACTGTCGCCCAGGCTGGAGAACAGAGGCAAGGTCTCGGCTCACTGCAGCCTCTGCCTCCTGGCCTCGAGCTATCCTCCCACCTCAGCTGCCAGAGCGGCTGGGACACAGTCACGTGCAACCAGGCCTGGCTCCTTTTTGTATTTTTTGTAAAGACAGGGTTTCACCATGTTGCCCAGGTTGGTCTCAAGTAACCTGCCTGCCTTAGCCTTCCAAAATGCTGAGATAACAGGTGTGAGCCACTGCGCCCAGCTCATATACATCTTATAATCAAAACTGTGTTAAAATCCTGTTCCCCAGCCAGGCACGGTGGCTCACGCCTGTCCGTAATCACACCAGCACTTTGGGAGGCTGAGGTGGGCGGATCATGAGGTCAGAAGATTGAGGCCATCCTGACCAACATGGTGAAACCCCCATCTGTGCTAAAAATTTAAAAATTAGCTGGATGGAGTGGCGTGCATCTGTAGTCCCCGCTACTGAGGAGACTGAGGCAGGAGAATGTCTCGAACCCAGGAGGTGGACGTTGCAGTGAGCCAAGATCACGCCACTACACTCCAGCCCCGCAACAGAGCGAGACTCCGTCCCAAAAAAAAAATAAAAATAAAAATAAAAAAATGCTGCTCCCCATAGAGACCACCCCCCAATAATCCCACTAAGACTGAGAGTTCCTTGACAACAAAGAAGGTGGGATCTCATGTTTCTCTGAAACCCAGCCCAAGCCTGGACCCAACGGGAGGCAAAATGAGCTTTCATTAAATCGTGTCACACTTCTAAATCACACACCAAGAAACGCAGCACCTTCAGTTCCTGCCCCTCTCACCTGGCTCGAGAACAAGTCTTTTAAACTGTTTCGAGAATCAAAATTCTGTCGTCAGGTTGGCTCCATCTCACAGGCATGACAGTGCCTGCTACAAGGTCCCAGGGGCTCCTAGCTAGGAGTAAGAAACTCACTGTTCTAAAATTCCTGGTTTAGGCTGGGTGCAGTGTCTCAAGCCTGTAATCTCAGTACTTCAGGAGACAGAGCCAGGTGGATCACTTGCGGTCAGGAGTTTGAGACCAGCCTGGCCAACATGATGAAACCCCGTCTCTACTAAAAATACATTAGCTGGGCATGGTGGCAGTGCCTGTAATCTCAGCTACTGGGGAGGCTGAGGCAGGAGAAATGCCTGAACCCGGAAGGCAGAGGTTGCAGTGAGCCGCGATCATGCCACTGCACTCCAGCCTGGGTGACAAGCGCAAGATGCCATCAAATAAACAAATACATAAAGTAATTAATTAATTCCTGGTTTAAAATTTACAGTAATAATGGTGTTATTTCGCTTTTTACTAGCCATGACAAATCATCCATAGGGTGGCTACATTTCTTGTTATGTCAATCTTGCCAAGACATGGAAGTTTCCTCCTTCCTCAGGGGACACAGTAAGGACATGGATCCATGTGGCGTGAGCACAGGGAAGCTTCTGTGTCCCACTTCATCCTTCCAGACCTCGGTGGGGCCTGGCAGCCAACTACTGTGGCCCTCCTCTCAACCTGGGCTTCGCCCCGTCACACACACTGGGGATATGGCAGAGAATACAACAGGCAGAGCCCACTCGCAGGGACACTGCCTAGAACTGAGTGAAGCAGGAATGCAGGGAGAGTTTTGCAGAAAGAGCCTCTCCAATAAGGAGACTCTCCAATAAGCAAAAGCTCAGTGGAGTGTGGAGATGCCCCACCAGGCAGACTCGCCAGGGCTCAGAATGCTCCCGGTGGAGGAAATGGCAACAGCCAACATCCAGAGGCAGAAACACGGTCAATGAGAGGCTGGTGGGCAGGGGAGAGCCGGCCAAGCACTGAGGTCGGATTCCCAGCAGAGAGACAAAGGGGAAGGGGCTGAAAACGACAGCGAGCACCGCAGAATGGATTCTCGGTAAGATGGGAAATCTTTGGAGGGATTTTTTTTATATTAGACACTGGTGTCACTATGTTGCCCAGGCTGGAGTGCAGTTGCTATTCACAGGCACAACCCACTGCGTAGTCCACTGCAGCCTCCAACTCCCGGGCTTAAGCAATCCTCCCAATTCAGCCTCTTAAGAAGCTGGGACTACAGGTGCCTGCCAATGAGCCTGGCCTACCATCATAGGTTTTTTGTTTTTGTTTTTGTTTTTGTTTTGAGACAAGAGTCTCACTCTGCCACCCAGGCTGAAGTGCAGTGAGGCCATCTTGGCTCACTGCAATCTCCACCTCCTAGGTTTAAGCGACTCTCCTGCCTCAGCCTCCAGAGTACCTGGGACTACAGATGTGCGCCACCACGTCCAGCTAATTTTTATATTTTTAGTAGAGATGGGGTTTCGCCATGTTGGCCAGGATGGTCTTGATCTCTTGACCCCGTGGATCCACCCACCTCAGCCTCTCAAAGTGCTGGGATTACAGGCGTATGCCACGGTGCTTGGCCCCTTTGTAGGGTTGGTGCAGAGGACTGACATGCTCTGGCTTAGCTTTTAAATTCTGGTGAGGCACCTTGGCAAGGTTTCTTATGGTTTTCAGCTTCCCATGAGAGAGCTCACTCCCTGCACTTGAGGTCTGCCTTTGGCCTGGCCACATCTGTGGAAGCCACCAAGTCCCAGAGGCTCTCCAGAACCCCATGTTCCTTCACCAGCTCCACTTCACAGCTGACACCCCATGCCTGGCCCCCGGAGGTATCTGAGTTTGAGAACCCTCCTAACACAGGCTGCCTGCAGGGGCTTCTGCAGGGAAGGCTACTCACAGCAGCCGTGGGGAGCCTCTGTGTGCAGGCCACAGGGAGGCGAAGCTTCCAGTCCGTCTCCCCATCCAGCTGATCCGTCCGCAAGAAGCATGACCCTGTGGAAGGAAGTTGGGCACTGTCACCTTCACCCCAAGGACCTTTCCCCTGGCAGCTCTGGGCAGCGGCTGCTCTGGTCCTTATAAAAACAGCCAACCAATGGCCAGAGACCACAAGGGAAAACAATATCCTATTTCCCACTTCTTCCACAATCAGTATTGGGGTCAGAAAGATCCAAGTTCAAATCCTCACTCCGCCACTGCAATCCCAGGATAGTTTCTTGTCCCTGTTAAACTTCAGTGTCTGTGAAATGTGGAGAAACATAGACCTCGCAAACTTGCTGTAAGGAATCGGTGGGGAGACAGAACGGTGGCCAGCACACCAGCATTCCGAGCCACCTGGCCAGGCATCGCCAGCACCTTCTCAGGACCCAAACCACCTGAGCGCAGATCCAGGCTCTGCTGCACACTAGCTTTGTGCCCTGAGAGCTGCCTAGCCTCTCTATGCCTCAGTTTCCTCATGTGTAAAAGTGGGGCTAGGAACAGCGCTGACCCTGCAGAGGCGTTGTGAGGATTAAAGAACTGATCTGTGCAGAGCTCAGAGCAGTGCCGATCAGTCCAAGCCAGCACCAGTTCATTATGGGCTGGCACATTTCCGAGGCACATCTTTCAGTCTCACATACAGATCCATGCAAGTCATCAGCTATATCCTCCATCAGACAACGTGCCACATTCACTGACACTGCAGTTCAGACTTTGAGAACTATTTATGTAGAGCACTCATCATTTTGTGGGGTTTGTTTTTGTTTTTTGTTTTTTGTTTTAAGAAAAAAGAGAACGCCGAGGCCCTACTCCGTAATGTTCTGTTTGCACCAAATAGGACACTAGAATGAATTTCAGGATAAAGCTGCAGTTTTTCAAAGACTGTTTTAATCTAGTGCCTTTTACCTCCTGTACTGATTACTCATTAGTATAAAATTTTACTTCAATTCCATTCATAACGAAATGTGTTGCAGTGTCCTCAGAGGTATATGAATGTCAGTTTTTCAGGTGTTCAGAAACCTCCAATTATGCCAGATAAGAGAAAAACAGCCTCGATTCCTCAGAACAGCTTCAATAACAAAAATTAAAGCTAAGGCTATTCAGGCCAGGCACGGTGGCTCATGCCTGTAAGCCCAGACCTTTGGGAGGCCGAAGCGGGCGGATCACCTGAGGTCAGGAGTTCAAGACCAGCCTGGCCAACACAGTACAACCCCATCTCTACTAAAAATATAAAAATTAGCCAGACATGGCAGTACACAGGAGGCTGAGGCAGGAGAATGGCTTGAACTCAGGAGGGGGAGGTTACAGTAAGCAGAGATCACACCATTGCACTCCAGCCTGGGTGACAGAGCAAGACCTTGTCTCAAAAAAAAAAAAAAAACAAAACAAAAAAAAACAGGCCGGGCGCGGTGGCTCAAGCCTGTAATCCCAGCACTTTGGGAGGCCGAGGCGGGTGGATCACGAGGTCAAGAGATCGAGACCATCCTGGTCAACATGGTGAAACCCCGTCTCTACTAAAAATACAAAAAAATTAGCTGGGCATGGTGGCGCGTGCCTGTAATCCCAGCTACTCAGGAGGTTGAGGCAGGAGAATTGCCTGAACCCAGGAGGCAGAGGTTGTGGTGAGCCGAGATCATGCCATTGCACTCCAGCCTGGGTAACAAAAGCGAAACTCCATCTCAAAAAAAAAAAAAAAGAGAGATCGAGACCATCTTGGTCAACATGGTGAAACCCTGTCTCTACTAAAAATACAAAAAATTAGCTGGGCATGCTGGCGCGTGCTTGTAATCCCAGCTACTCAGGAGGCTGAGGCAGGAGAATTGCCTGAACCCAGGAGACGGAGGTTGCGGTGAGCCGAGATCGTGCCGTTACACTCCAGCCTGGGTAACAAGAGCGAAACTCCGTCTCAAAAAAAATAAAAAATAAAAAACTAAGGCAATTTTAGTAGACTGATAGGGTGGGCAGACAATGGCAGCTGCCACCCAAGGAAATAACTATAAAGTAAGAGACTTCAGAGATTCTCAGGCTACAATAAATAAATCAATAGGTCCTATGGCAAAGTCCCCTGACTCATGAACGAAAGGCAGAAAAGATGCCCACCCCTCCCCAGTTTCTGTACTGCCCCCACTCAAGACGCGTCTCCTGGTATCAGCTTAGAAGAGAGGGGATTTCTGTTTACTTCTACATGTTAGAAACACTTCCTCGTCCCAACTCCTGATGCAGAGCTTAACACGGCCCAGGGAGGAAAACCAAGACCACTGTATGCGTGACTTCACCAGCTGCAAGTCAGCCGGTGCTCCGCAAACTGTATTTTTTTAAAGATCAAAATCTATTGACTTTTAAAGACCAACAACACTGTTTAAAAAGAATGATCTATTGAAAAAGATGCTTTTGATTTGCCTCCGTGGGTCCAAAATGATAATCTACTTTGTGACATTTTCAAATGATTTTGCCAAATTACCACTGAAAGGTTAATGGTTATTTTCCAAATTGATGTCAGATGTTTACCGTTTTTTTCTGATGTCCTCAGGAAGATCATGTCGGCGGGGACCCGCTGGTTCTGTGTTATGAAAAGAAAGACTTACTGTGAATGAATGCCCGTGTGGTGGGGGTGGGGGTAGGAGTTTCCGCCCCCACCCCCAACCCCTCGGTGGGTTTGGAGGTGGGGGGTGAAACTCACAACCTCTTTTAAGCTTCTGTCTTTGTCAAAGACAGATTTGGGGATTTACGTTGTTTTGAATCTGCAGAATCTTGCACACTGCTGCTACTTTACTAATCCCCTATCAAAATCTTATCTTGGAAAGAGAGCTTCGAGTTTTCTGGCGAATTCAACCATTACCTCCTGAAATCCCGAAAGCCTGCCTCCCCAGCTGGCTCTCTTCCAGGCGGTCTGCTGAGACTCAAGGCAGACCCTCCGCTCACGCTTTCTGCTTCTACCAACTTCCCAGCTTGATGTTTGGCTTTTAGTGGATTTTAATAAGGAACGAAAGTAGTAGGAAGCAACAAAAGCCAGTATGAAAAAAAGGGGGGAGGGGGGCAGCCAGCAGACCTCATTCAATAATGAACAGAAATGTATGTGATAACATAGAGAGGGTTTGTGTGGTTCTTCTGGGCTGCCACCTGCAAGAGTTTCACTTTACCTCAAAGTAGCTTTGAGTTCTTGGATTTAATCCTTTTAAAAGAGCATAGCTCAGTTTCTACAGAAACAAGTTAAGACACAATGCTTTTCTAATCAAATATTATTCCAAGCCTCCCCAGAGCCACCCCTGAAAATCCAATACCTTCCAAATATACACGCTAGAAAAAGACATGAGTGTCTGCTAATGTCACAAACACATTGACATGGCTATTTTTTAAACTGTATTTTGGGTCTTTTTACTGTTCTCAGGTTACGGTTAATCCCAGCTCCCCATAAAATAATAGACAAGCACAATGGTTACGTGAGGACATGGCTCAAAAGATAAATGAGGTAAATATTGTAAGTGTCTATGCAGTAAGCTGACTTCTAGGAAAGATTTTAGGATATTTTTTATCTCAAGGCTTTAGGATATTTTTTATCTCAAAATAATAACCACATCGAACAGAACTGAAACTTGTACTTGTGTCTGTGAGCAGGATTCGTGGCTAACCAACCAATATAAACCTTGAAGAGTGTGTGTGTGTGTGTGTGTGTGTGTGTGTGTGTGTGTGTGTCTGTCTGTCTGTCTCACAGGAAAGAGATTTTCTCCGCAGGCAAAGTTGCTGGACAGAATCCCAAAATGCATCATTCAATTTGTCTACCAGATACACAAATTACACGTTAGGATACCTGAAGCAGCATTCACACGCAAGCTTCCAGATCCTGCTCACCTTTTCAACGATGATAAGGTCTCCAACTTGGATATTGGAACTCTTCACCTTCACCGTGCCTGCAAAGCAACAGGTTCAAGATACATCACATCTTAATTCATTCAATTCAACCTGTCTTTACAGAGTGTACAGCCTGCAAAGCCAACAATGCGATACACCCAGAAGTACATGCTCCCACCCACGGCCACCACCAACCCCAGCACCATTATCTCCTGTCCCTCCAGGAAAGGGCTCATCTGCTCCAGAGCCCACTCCAGAAGTCAATGCCCACTTCACAGGGCATTGGAATAATTTGTGCCCTTCATGAAAGATCATTTACCTTAACAGTGACTTAAATGGTAAGTACTGGAAGGAAAAAGTCTTAATTTTCAATACCGCCAGAAAGAAAGAAGCTGACTGATTCCAAATGACTGGTTTACTTTTTAATTTACAATTGCTATATGCTTTTATTTATATGATTATAATCAGACTATATAATTTTTGCTAGTTGTTAATCTAGATAAACAGTAAAAGCTAACATTAAATGCTAACGCTGTGCTCAGTACTGCAGATTTTGATGGCTTCATTTAATCCTCACAAGAGCCCTCAGAAGAAAGTATTCCCATCTCTAGCTTCCAGACAACGAAAGGAGACTCAGGATGCTCCACCTTCCCCTAACGACCCAGAGTTACAACAGGCCAGTGCTGGGATTCACACCTGCATCTGACTCCAGAGTACAGAATAAAAACAGTGAGTGCCAGCCGGGCGCGGTGGCTCAAGTCTGTAATCCCAGCACTTTGGGAGGCTGAGGCGGGTGGATCATGAGGTCGAGAGATCGAGACCATCCTGGTCAACATGGTGAAACCCCGTCTCTACTAAAAATACAAAAAAATTAGCTGGGCATGGTGGCACGTGCCTGTAATCCCAGCTACTCGGGAGGCTGAGGCAGGAGAATTGCCTGAACCCAGGAGGCGGAGGTTGCGGTGAGCCGAGATCACGCCATTGCACTCCAGCCTGGGTAACAAGAGCGAAAACTCCGCCTCAAAAAAAAAAAAAAAAAAAAAAAACAGTGAGTGCCAAGTACGGTGGCTCACGCCTGTAATCCCAGCACTTTGGGAGGCCAAGACGGGCGGATCACAAGGTCAGGAGTTGGAGACCAGCCTGACCAACATGGTGAAACCCTGTCTCTACTAAAAATAAACAAATTAGCCAGGCATGGTGGCAGGCACCTGTAACCTCAGCTACTCAAGAGGCTGAGGCAGGAGAATCACTTGAACCAAGAGGCAGAGGTTGCAACGAACCGAAATCATGTCACTGCACTCCAGCCTGGGCAACAGAACAAGACTAAGTCTCAAAAAAAAAAAAAAAAAATCAGTGAGTTCAGTTCAACTCAAAAAACACGACTGGGCTAGGCACAGTGGCTCACATCTGTAATCCCAACACTGTAGGAGGCCGAGGCGGGCGGATCACAAGGTCAGGCGTTCGAGACCAGCCTGGCCAACATGGTGAACCCTATCTCTACTAAAAATACAAAAATTAGCCAGGCATGATGGTATATGCCTATAATCCCAGCTACTCAGGAGGCTGAGGCAAGAGAACTGCTTGAACCGGGACCCGAGAGGTGAAGGTTGCAGTGAGCAAGATTGCGCCACTGCACTCCAGCCTTGGCTACAGAGTGAGACTCTGTCTTAATAATAATAATAATAATAATAATAATAATAATAATAATGGATGAAGGGGGTTGGAGAATCAGAGAGGTGGCTGTCAACAAACGCTCTGTGGGAGAGTTGAGGCCAGAATTAGACAGATGAAGGACACTGTGTTTACCAGTAACAGATGAAAGGCAGCCTGGGATGCAAGAAAGTGAGACAAGTGAACAGCTAACAGCACGCACATGGCCAAACGCTAGAACTCCTTTGGCAAGACCCGAAGCATCAGGAAAGCAGGGAATAGCAAGACATGAAGGCGGAAGGGGCCAGGTGGGGCCAGGTGGCCCCGCACGCTGAGTGAGCCCAGAGAAGAAGAGACAATTTATTCTGGTGACGGGTAAAATCGACATACAGGGAGCAACACCACAAAATCTTTATGATACTGTATCTTATAACAAGCCCACATAACTTACAAATGTTCAGCTAAAAGAGAAATAAAAAATAATTATAAGGCCGAGCGTAGCTCACGCATGTAATCCCAGCACTTTGGGAGGCAGGCAGATCATCTGAGGTTGGGAGTTGAAGACCAGCCTGGTCAACATGGAGAAACCCCGTCTCTACTAAAAATACAAAATTAGCTGGGCATGATGGCACATGCCTGTAATCCCAGCTACTCGGGAGGCTGAGGCAGGAGAATCGCTTGAACTCAGGAGGAAGAGTTTGCAGTGAGCAGAGATCGGGCCATTGCACTCCAGACTAGACAACAAGAGGAAACATTCCTCTCAAAAATATTAATAATTATTATCATAGAGCCAGGTGCAGTGGCTCCTGCCTATAATCCCAGCACTTTAGGAGGCCAAGGCGGGTGGATCATAAAGTCAAGAGACACAGACCATCCTGGCCAAAATGGTGAAACCCCGTCTCTACTAAAAATACAAAAATTAGTCAAGCGTGGTTGCATGTGCCTATAGTCCCAGCTACTTGGGAGGCTGAGGCAGGAGAATCACTTGAACCTGGGAGGCAGGGGTTGCAGTGAGCTGAGATTGTGCCACTGCACTCCAGCCTGGCGACAAAGCAAGACTCCATCCCAAAACATAATAATAATAATAATTACAATGACCCTCCATCTTCTTCAATAAGTAGATGCCACAGAGTAAGAGTGAAATGGGAATCGTGAATCCGGTACTCCCTTGGTGTTTTCATTTGAATATTCAGCAAATACCCAGCATGCAGTAAGCAGGATTTCCAGCTTTCATTTCTTTGGCTTTATGAAGAACTAAAAGACACCAAAGCCTGGGCGACGTGGCTCACAATTGTAATCCCAGCACTTTGGGAGGCCAAGGTGGGTGAATCACCTGAAGTCAGAAGTTTGAAACTAGCCTGGCCAACATAGTGAAACCCCATCTCTACTAAAAATAAAAAAATTAGCCGGGCGTGGTAGCAGGTGCCTGTAATCCCAGTTACTGAGGCAGGAGAATCGCTTGAACCCAGGAGGTGGAGGTTGCAGTGAGCCAAGATCTCACCATTGCACTCCAGCCTGGGCAACAAGAGCAAAACTCCATCTCAAAAAAAAAGAAAGACACAAAATAATCTAAGTGCACAACTCTGGGTTTTTACAGTGTCTCACAGTATTTTATAGTTTTAAAATACTATTTTTTTAAGTACTCCACTACCATTGAGATTTTTCAGAGCATTCCAAGTTTTTTGAAATTCAGAGCATTCCAATTTTATTGAAACAACTCTCTTTAATTGGTTCCATAAGGTTTCTTTTTAACTGATTTTTTTTTTTTTTTTTTTTTTTGAGCTGGAGTCTCACTTTGTCACCCAGGCTAGAGTGCACTGTCATGATCTCGGCTCACGGCAACCTCCGCCTCCTGGATTCAAGCGATTCTCATTCCTCAGCCTCCTGGATTCAAGCGATTCTCATTCCTCAGCCTCCTGAATAGCTAGGATTACAGGCACATGCCACCACACTCAGCTAATTTTTTATTTTTAGTAGAGATGAGGTTTCACCACACTGGCCAGGCTGGTCTTGAACTCCTGATTTCAAGTGACCCGCCCACCTCAGCCTCCTAAAGTGCTGAGATTACAGGTGTGAGCCACCGCACCCAGCAATTTTAACTAATTTTTATATGTCATTAAATTCTGTCACGAAACAGTAAGAACCGGCATCAAAAGGTCTGATACAAACACTGCTGACTTCTAGAAAGCACTCGGCTAACGGCAGTGAGCAAAACCAGCCCTCGATTGTCGGTAAGGCTTCTGGACTCTCGCAGTGTGAGCATCTCACCCTACTAAGTGAGCACCTAGCTTCTAATGGTACCTCATTTTCATAAAATATGACGTTAAACTCAATCCAGTAACTGGAGCCCTGGCATGCTAGACAGAGACCCAGTGGCCTCGTTTTATTATGTCTTGGGCTTTGGTCAATATATTTACAGAAACTGGAGAACATCCAATTAAATGATTAGAAATAGGTAAAGAAGCCAGATACGGTGGCTCACAACTGTAATCTCAGCACTCTGGGAAGCTGAGACAGGTAGACTGCTTGAGCCTATTAGTTCAAGGCCAGCCTGGACAACATGGCAAGACCCTGTGTCTACAACAAATACAGAAAATTAGCCAGGCATGGTGGTGTGGACCTGTACTCCCAGCTGCTTAGGAGGCTGAGGTGGGAGGAGTGCTTGAACCCAGGCTTTTGTGAGCGGAGATTGTGCCACTGCACTGCAGCCTGGGCAACAGAACAAGACCCTGCCTCAAAAAAAAAAAAAAAAAAAAAAAAAAAAAAGGAGAGAGAGGGAAATGGGTAAAGAGAGGGTCTAATTGGCAGAACGCTTTCAGGGCCTGAACCACTCTTCTTGCTCCACTAGGGGGCAGAAGGAGAAACAGGCACAGACGCATCATTTTTCTGGGAGCTCAGAAAGATCATAAATTCAACATGGCCCTCAGCGCCAATGAACTTTTCCTTCACTTGAGCTTGCCCCAACTTTCCCAAACATAAATTTACACATTGTCTTTGGTTTGATTACCGAAATTTATGCCGCTGGTTTGGCCCTAGCGATCACACCTGGGTTCTGATCTTCACGCTCTCGTTATAGGTTCCCTCTTTAACTCAAAGAAAAGCCTATGTTTTTATTCTTATTAAATAATAATCGCCCAGGTACACGTGTGTACGTTAACAGGACAGACGACAAAATCAGGGAGATTGTACTGAAAGGAACAGCAGGGCTTTCTCTGTCACAGATATTTTCCAAATTCTTCACATGAATTGTTTTTCCATTAAGCATAAGGTTGCTTTCCTAATAAGAAAAAGATAACAATTAAAATTAGCTCTGATTTTTAAGTGACCAGACTCAGATTTTTTCCTTCTGCAAGCAAGTCCTGATTTATGACCCACTCATGTGAACTCTGCCTCTCTCTGTCCATCTGTT